AAACTACTATCAATTTTTCAGTATTGTGAAATAAAGTGGCTTAAAAAATTAATAATTAAGTAATATGTTTATTATATTTCAATATTTGACATATTAATACTTATTGATATAGAAAACTCAAATTCAAATTTACAATCTATCCAGATAGAATAAATAATAGATAAGAGTGTACAAAACATATTTTGATCTTCAAAATACTCAAAATTTTTAAAACTCAAATAAGTAAAGATTATATATTATTATTAATGCTAATCTCCCCCCTTTTTTGAAAACCTAAAATCTCTCTTTTCTTATTCCATCGGCAGTCACCGACGGTCACCCCTTTCCTTTTTTTGTTTGATTTTTTGCAACTAATTCTCGGATTTGTTTACAGATCAGAGTTATTGTCGCTCATATATTGAGATTGTTTGCCCATATATTGAGATTTTATCCTCAGATTTAGTTCTGAATTATTGTTATCACCATTATGGGGATTTTGTCTAGTGTCTTTTATTATTTGGATAGTTATGCAGAAAGAAGTGCAGATCTCCTCTTCAATAGAAGGAAGAAATTTGAAGGTAATTAGATTGGACTTATAGAAAGATCATGAGGTCGAACAGTGGGTATGAATAACCACTAAGTGAAGCAAACGATCGCCTATGACACAAATATTATACTCTTTCAACTTGATCAGATATTTTAAATCATGATTATGTTTTTTTATTCTTTATATAAATGGTTTATTATTAGGCTTTCTATGCAAAAATATAAAAATATATTGATCTGTTTCCCATATCTATATACAGGTTCCAATTAATGAAATTATAGTTTGATTTTTTCTCAAAAAAAAATAGTATTAATCAAAGCTTTAATTAATTTAATATTTTTAATATTTTTATTCACAAATAAAACACTTTTATAATAATATAATTATTTAGAAAATATATAAACACTCGCGCGCGAAGTGCAGAATAACAACTAATTCATAAAGTACTTGAGCTAAATTTAGTTTTGATCATAAGATAAAATCCATTAAATAAATAGGAATCTATTTCAGAAATAAATTTTCTTAAAAGTAGGATATGAAGCATACCATTTTATTGAATAAGAGGAGTATCTTTTAATACACTTTCTTCGTAATTCATAAAAGTTGTTGTCAACTTTTTCCTATATATATATATATCACGAATTGTAATGATAAGATCACTCGATCAAGAATCCATTGATCACCAAACAAGGTTCCTATGCTGATAGAAATACCAAACAAGATAATAAAGCCTAAGTTCAAATCCTCTGTCCAGTTAATAAAACCAAAAGAAAAACAAAGTAAGTTAAATATATATTGACTTTTTAAAATGTTAAAAGATGTCGGTTCTTTCGGTCACAAACGAATTAAAATTTTTTTTTATTACATTTCGATTCAGAAATTATTGGTGGAGAGTATTATCACTATTTACATATGGAAATACAATTGCGAAAAATTCATTGGCTAGAGAGGTTCAATTTAGCAATAATAGGACAATGAATTAGATTAACACCACCTTTCACGATTCAATTTCCATATATTTTTTTATATACATCGGATTTGAGTGAGTCCAATCTCAATAATACATCAATAATCATTGATTTTTAATTTGTATATATAAAATTAATTTATATAATTTTTGTCATGATAATAAGATAAAAACTTTCCTAAGACTGTTCCTATAATTATACAACATAAATAAATTAAAATCCCCATTCTTTTTTTTTTTTTTTTTTTTTTTTTTTTTTTATATACATCTGATTTGAGTGAGTGAGTCCCAATCTCCAATTAAATACCATCAATAATCCATTGATTTTTAATTCTGTATATAATAAATTAATTGTATATAATTTGTTCATCGATGCAAATAAGATAAACTTTCCTAAGACTGCTTCCTTATTAAAAAAAATTTAGTTACAACATAAATAAAATTAAAATCCCCATTCTTTTTCTTTTTTTTTTTTCCTCTCTTATCTCAGCGATCTCATATCCAACGGCACGGGGGAGGATACTTCGGAGAAGGTAGATACACTAGGAAAGACCAATCAAAAGTTTTGACAACTGTAGGCCATCTTTTTTTTTTTTTTTTTTTTTTTTTTGGATACTGAGAAGGGTGATACCTAGAAGACCAATCAAAAGTTGACAACTGTAGGCCATCTCTAAGAGATGGCCTGAATATCATCCCGAAGCAAAGCAAGAATCTCCACAGGGGGCGACTGCAATAGCACTTTATGAGCAGTGGCATCTATCGCAAGGTTTGCAAGAACATCAACAACTTTGTTCCCTTCAGATACACATGCTGGAATCGAATCACCCCTTGACCATCAAGGAGAGCCCAGCACTGCAACAAAACATTACAGAAGCATAAATTAGAATTCTGGCCGGCCTGAACCAGCTGTAAGCTCAGAAGAGAGTCCATCTCCAGCACCACCTGCCTGTAGCCTGCCTCCCAAGCGCACTGTAACCTAGCCAAGAGCGCCTGCAACTCAGCCATCATAGAAAAGCAACTCCCTAAACGAACCAAAAACCCACAGCACCACCTCCCATAGGAATCCCTAATCACCTCGCCACCACCACCAAGCCTGGAATTGCCTTTCGACGCTCCATCCACGTTGAGCTTGATGATGCGTCTCACATCGCCTGCGGAATACATCCTGGGTCAGTGTATAAAGCTGAGTTCAGTCCTTCCTCTACGAGTTAGCTTTTGGGGCGAAGTTAGGAGCCAGACGAAACATTAATAATCTGCTTAGCACAAGGTTGCACATAAGCTATACCCTTACTCCATGGTAGCACATTAGCAACCGCCTGAACTCTAAGGAGCTGCAACTTTGCACTTAAACCAGGTTGCATCCCTCGGAACACGCGCTCGTTCCTCCATCGCCAAAGCCACCACAGAACCAAAGCAACCACCTGATCTGTCATAACATTAGGCAAGGCCGGAAAAACCCAATCACCACAATCATGAAAACAATCTATTGGCATGGACTGAGAAAAGTGCAGGAAAGACTGCCTATCCATGATACTCCTCCAAACTTCCGTCGCAGAAACACAATCTCTAAAAAGATGTAAAATCGACTCAGTATCTCTACAAGCTGGGCAACCATCTTCCAATGTGAACCCATATCTGACCCGCTCCACATTAGTCATAAGCTTCCCCAGATGCCATAACCATAAGAAGCAGCGGGCACGTTGCGGGACACGGAGCTACTAGATCTTTTCCCATAACTGATCTCGGGGAAGCCCACTTGGTCACCAAGCATCCCAAAAGCAGACAAAACAGAAAACACACCAATCGGAGTACCATTCCAAGCAATAAGATCAGGCACCAATGGGTCTGATATCAAAGAAATCGACTCCAATAGTTTGCACACAAATAAAGGCAAAAACGGGGTAATAAGCTCCCATTTCCAAGTCCCCATTATCCCAATAATTTCTAACCAACAAATGAGCGCACGACTCCTGCAAGGGAGGGGTGACCAAAGCACTCAACGGTCTATCTGTAAGCCAAACATCAGACCAAAAAGAGGTATAAAATCCACTACACACAACTGAAAACAGACCCTTAGCCAACAACGAGATTGACCTGACAATACCCCTCCAAATACACGATGCAGTAGGCTTGTCCAGCATCGCAGAAATACCGGCTAACTGATGCATGTACTTGCTCTTCAAAAATAGAACACCATAAGGATCATTCGTCCTATAACAATCGCTAACCCAGCTTGGCAATAAAAGCATCATTCATACTTCGGCACGAGCGCACACCAAGGCCGCCAACACTAAGCGATTTTGTAAGCCTGTCCTAACTAACCAAATGAATCCTCTTCAGAAGATTAACCTTGTGACCCTAGATAAAATCCCTCACTAGTTTGTCAAAATCATCACAAATAGCCCTAGGGAGCCGAAGAACCTGTATAATGTGATTCGACAAAGCAGTGAGAACGGACTTAGCTAAAGTAACCAGCCCTGCAAGAGAAAGACACTGCATCTTCCAACTAGCCAGATGGCTATCAAGTCGAGCAAATAAAGGATCAAACACTACTTTCGTCATCCGACCAATAACCATAGGGACCCCCAAATAGGTTCCTGGAGTCATAGCCATAAAAACCCCGGACCTTTGGCAAATCGCATCACGTAAATCCAAAGGGGTATTCGCCGAAAACAGGATTGAGGATTTGCTATAATACACCTTCTCACCAGCGCAACACAAAACTAGTCCAAATAGAGCTTGACAACATCAACTTGATCCAAAGAAGCTTCCACAAACAACAATAAATCATCAAATCATCGGTGAAAAAACAGATGTGAAAGAGCCGGACCATCCCTGGATAATTGATTCGTCCTCCAATCCCCACACACAATAGCATCCTTAATGATATGGTTCAACCGTTCTATGGCCAACATAAAAAGATACGGGACTTGGGTCCCCTTGCCTAACACGCCGCGTAGGCTGAAAACAACCTAAAGCAACACCATTCCAAAGAATACTCATCGAACAAGCCCTAAGACAAGTAGCAATAGGATGACGCCAATGATTCGAAAAACCAGCTCGACCCAAACAATCATCAAGAAAACCACATTAGTATTCAAAAATCAAATTTGTTGCTATGTTTTAATTTTGCTCAACTCCTTATTAAAAATATAATTAAAAAAAACTCATGTAGTTATTATACAAAAAATTTAATTAAACCTTTGTAAGATTAGACCGGATGACTTGATCAAAATAAAACTACAGCGAATTCATACTTAGTTGGTTTTCACTTATAGATTCAATGATTACGTGGATTAAAAGTAATTCAACTTTACAAGGGCCCTGTATTCTTAATTTTACGACTCTTAATTTTACGACTTGTAATAATTGCATCTTAAAATTAACTTAATTCTATAATCACACAATTTTAAATTTTTGTAAAAATTGCACCCTAATTATAAATCCAATCAAAATTGATATTAAAATATAATATACGTGGGACCCAAAGAAGTTAGCTAACCCAATTTTGGTTAGCATGTTCTAAACGACACTTGAGCCTAATTCTCTCTTCTTCAATTATTCCTTTGTCTTTCCGTCTCTCGCTACCATGGCTCTTATTCACTTTGGGCTTATGAGCATGGCTACTGCAAGTGGCAGTGGCAAATCTTTTAATGCTTTTGCAAGGCAAAAGGGTGTAGTTGAAGAGGTGAAATTTCAACCTTTATGATTCTTTTCTTGAATTTGGTTTCTGAGTTTTTTCAGATTTTATTTTTCTTTTTTTAATGGAATGGAGATTTATTGATTTAGGGAGCGTATTTGAATGATTGTGTTATTTTGGCTTGTGGGTTGCTCCAATTTGAACTTTTTTGTAATTTGTAAAGAAAAAGTAAAGGATTCATGAACAAGTTTATGAATCCAGAGCTGGGTGGCGGTGGCAGTGATGGTGGAGGCAGAGAGATTTCAGAGATAGTAACAGCTAATCATCAATCGCTACTTTATAGAGGGCTAAAGAAACCGAAGAAAGAGAGAGGCTGCACTGCTAAAGAAGGTATAAGCAACATGCCTCCTTGCGCAGCTGGTAAACACAGTTTTGTTTACTGTGGTGTCACTAGGTACATATATGTGTATTTTTGCTGAGTAGAAAATATATAGCTTTTGGTTGAATTTAATTAAATTTAACTGTTAATTAGTTATAGCTTGTTTCATTGTTCTAAAAGCAGCTGAAAGAGAAGCAACTAGAAAAGATCAGGTGTTCGCTATAGTTGCTTTGTGAAGTTATGATCTCATTTGTCTAACTTTGATTTGCTAATTATAAGCCTATACCATTTGCAGCAGATCTTATAAAAGAAGAAGCTATTGATGCATCAGAAGCCATTAAATTTGTTGTTGTCTCGGACTGACGAAGGAGGTCAAAACCCAATTTTTGGCTCTTGTTGACAAAGAAGGTCTAAGACAGAGACAAACACAGGATAATGCTTTTGGTTTTGTGATTCATGGAATACATATGGATGAATTGGTCGATATGAGGCGGTGCCGTTTAGAATATGCTAACTATAGTTGAGTTAGCTAACTTCTATGGGTCCCACGTTTATTATATTTTAATATCAATTTCGACTGAATTTGTAATTAGGGTGCAAATTTTACACAAGTTTAAAATTAGGGTATCTAGAGGGTTAAATTCGTTTTAAGGTGCAATTGTTATAAGTCGGAAAATTAAGGGTATCTAAAAATAGTTTAGTTGGTAAAACAAAATGTTGCTCACCTTAAAAACAGCTGCATAATTGCCTGCGAATATGACATGCCTTCAAAGGGCAATTTATTATTAATGAGCTCCCACAAGACAACTGCAAAGTTATAGGCCTCCGACTTGTGATTAATGTTGTTTTAATGTGAAAGTGCTAGAGATATTAAGTTTTATAGTGAAAGGTGTGTTCCATAGTTACCGCATCATTTGTTAATCTCAAAAAATGAAACTGTTTTTATATTAGCTAAATTACAAAAATATCTCAAACTTTTCGACTTGTTATAAAATCACTTTGTTTTAACATTTATATATTAGGTACTCCCATCGGAAAACTTAGATATATTACCACAAAAAAATGCATTTATAGTTAGGGATTAGAATAAAAAATATTTTAGTGGGGCCACGTCGGTACCTTGGGTTAAGGCTAGTAAAATTCAATATAACACGCACTGTTTGGACAAAATCATTAGAAACAAACTACTGCATATGTTGAAGTCTCTCGTCAACCTTTTCATGACCATTCAAATCTCCTCTATCAACTCAAAAAGTAATAAAAATCTAACAATAATCAACCATATCATCTGAAGAGAGAAAGTGAAGCGGTACAAATATTAATTCTGCAGAGAGAACACTTGATGCTTTACCAAAAAAAAAAAAAAAAAAAAAAATAAATTATTTTATTCTTGTATAAGATAAAACATGACGATGAGTGTTTAATATTCTGTAAGGTGCAATTTAATGTTATAAGTTACGTTTTGAATAAATTAAAGATAAGGAGTTTGAGTAAAATTCATAAAAAAAATAAGCAATAACGAATAATTTTGAATTGGTGTAGTTAATTGTGGGTTAATTATTCATATAGCAAAATATGTAGTTGCTTGTCTCTAGTCCGCCTCTGTGGATTAACGCATTCATGGCAGGTCCGTGCATTAACTCTTGCACTTTGCGCGATAACTGTATCGTTCATGACTGGGTTCATTGTCGATGAGAAAGTTCTGGAATGGGTGGTTGCTTTAGGTGTGTTGCAGGACACTCGCGGTATATATTACGTAGTGTATAGCAAAGGGCAGCTCCCACCAACAGGTCGACCGGTTAATCTGCATATTATGTTATTTAGTGGCGCCGGTCCATAACGCAGAACGACTTGGTAGTGAACTTAATTTTGTTATTTCTAATCTGTTGAAAGTGCAAGTGATGAGATATTATTAAAGTTAGTTGGTGTGGGGTAGTATGTGTGGGAGGACAGAAAGTCAGTGTATTCCCCATGAAGTGATAGGTCCGGTAAACTCTTCGTCATCATTGTCTAACATCCTGTCCTCTATCAACCAAACAGTGTAGAATGCTGTTATGATTATTTGATTAGGCTTTGATGGAAGAAGTCTACATTTTATAGGAAATCAATGATATTTGTGTCCAAAGGCTCCAAACTTTTCGACTTGTTACTTTATAATAAATCGGAACTATTGTTTTGTTTGCGACATCTGGTGAATAAGTGTATTATATTAGGTACTCCCATCGGAAAACTTAGATATTACTTAAACCAAAATCTACAAAATGCTTAATTCCTTTTCGGCTCGATAGTTATAGGTACGCCTTGGATTTATACGGTGATGCGATGCCAAAGAGTACCTGAGGGATAAATTAATATTTTTAGTGAGGCTAGATCCAGGTGCCACAACGTCTATTTTGGGGTCCCTTGGTTAGGTACTTGTTTGGGATGCGAAAAGGGTATGTGTTTTATCTTATTGCTCGCTTGATAGCCATCTGCTAGTGGAGATGCGGTAATGTGCTATCGTGCGTAAAATTCAAGGTTTATAACACGCATTCATGTGGTAAGCACTAGCCAGTTTCATTACTGCGCAAATGACTATGATCGAATATCCTAGCCCATATGGATTTGAAGTCCTCTCGTCAACTTTTATCAGCTCTCGGCTCCCATTTGAGGAGCCATCTCAATAATCTTGTCGCATTTGAATTTCAAGACACTCAAAAAATAGGTGATGAGAATTTATAAATATTACTCTAACTAAGGGATGTTCCAAACCATAAATGCATTCAATGTCTTCAATGGAAGAGGGATTATGAGAAAGTGAGTATGAGTCTAGGACAGGGCTTACAAAATCGGACACAATTAAGTTTTTGGCTTAATCTGGCCATTGGTGATGCGCTCGTGCAAATTTGAATTGGATGCTAGTTTAACATTGCCCAAAGGTCTGATGGTGCTTAGGTCTTGACACTAAGTAAAAAAAAAAAAAAATAATAATAAAGAACGGTAAATCTATCAACTCGGATACTCAGAAGTGGTCTCTTACACTTCGTGAAGAGGGTCATGTCACATATGACAAAGTATACAACTCTCAATTCCAGTTTAAGTCCAATATTTATTTCAAACTTCTTCGTGCTGTATGACCATCGGCGACAAGCTACCGATGGCAATCGAGGCAATATTTACCATATGTTATCTCTTGGAAGAGGAGGGTCACTAGGTGAGGTCTATAATTCATCCAGTTGTGAATTTATCTAAATTGAGGTCATTATCAATGTTGAGAATTCTGCTTGTAGGGATAGAGAAATTCTACTAACATCCTAGTAATATATGATAGTTTAACTTGTCATCTATTTCCCGGGCGTATGACACGAATTATTGCCAAACCTGTGACGCTGGTTAAAATTACTTTGGCTTGTCAACCCCTCCCGTGTCAAGAGAAGGCTCCTATACGATAATTATGGCCGGGCTCGTTGTGTTGTATCTATTTATCTATGTGTCTCTGGAGCCTGGTGTAGTAAAAAATTTCAAGTGAACTTGAAGGGGACATATCGCATCTCAGAGGAACTGGTTATGGGAGCTATGTAAAATCTACCCGGTTATGTCCCCCCTTCTTTCAATTTTATTTAGGTTCAGACGGTAATGGAGGTCGATTATCTCTCATGACTAAGTAGAATTACAAGTATCTCCATTTTGGTGGCCTGATTGCATTGTGTGGACGTAGAAAAGGTAAATACATCAGTTGATTGGGTAGAATGTGGTTTTTGTTGTCTGCTTTGGTGATGTTGGGTATTGAAAAGCAGATTCAAGGTGGGGTCTTCCCCGTCGAAGATTATTATCGTATTGGGATCATATCAGGAATTTAATGTGAGAATAAAGACTTTCCCGTCCGGAAACGGTTCCCGTGTGCGTTCCTTAGTAATAGCGTTATAAAGAAGAAGAAAAATGGAGCCGAGCAGGAAAAAGAAAGGGAAAATATTAATAGGTCTCTACTCTGGGGAAGCTGACTAATGGAGCGGGTCAGTTGGGTTCACATGAAATGGTTGCCCAGCTTGTAGGAGTTATGAGTCATATTACTTTTTTAGAGATTTGTTTCTGCGACGGAAGTGGAGGGAGTATCATATAGGCATCTTTCCGCACTTTTCTCAGTCCATGCCAATAGATTGTTTTTCCATGATTTGGTGATTGGGTTTTCCTGGCCTTGGCTATGTTATGAGATCAGGGGTTGCTTTGGTTCTGTGGTGGCTTTGGCGATGAGAAGAGCCGCGTGTTCCGAGGGATCAAGCCTGTTAAGTTGCAAAGTTGCTTCCTTAGAGTTTCGGCGTTGCTATGTGAACCATGGAGGTAAGGGTATAGCTTTGTGCAAACACTTGTGCTAAGCAGATATAATGTTCGTTCTGGCTCCTAACTTCGCCCCAAAGCTAAACTTCGTAGAGAAGGACCTGAAACTCAGCCTCTATACACTGACCAGGATGTATTCCGCAGGCGATGTGAGGACGCTCATCAACTCAACGTGGATGGAGCGTCGAAGGCATTCAGGCTTGGTGGTGGTGGCGAGGTGATGATTCCTATGGGAGGTGGTGCGTGGGGTGGTTCGTTTAAGTGCTTTTCTAGATGGTAGTTGCAGGCGTGCTAGTTACGTCGCTTGGGAGGCAGGCTACATGGCAGGTGGTGCTGGGGAGAGACTCCTCTGGTTACAGCTGGTCAGCCGGCCAGAAATTTAATTTGCTTCTGTAATGTTGTGCATGTGGCCTCCTTGATGGTCCAAGGGTGATTCGATTAGCATGTGTATCTGAAAAAAAAGTTGTGAGTTCTTGGCAAACTTGGGCGATAGATGGCACTGCTCATTAAAGTGCATGCAGTCGCCCCTTGATTCTGCCTCGTGACCTATTATTCCTCTTTATACTCATTCCTCATCGTCTCGGTTAATTTCATCTCTTGCACAATTCGCATGGCGCTAAAGTGTGGTGACAGACTATGAGTATGATGTGGCAAACATGGTATCGCATGAGAAGTAAGAGGGTTGGCGCATTGGTACTTAATGCGGACGCTGTGAGAGGCATAGTTTTATAGTCCAGAAAAAAAAAAAAAAAAAAGAATGATTAATATTCGTGACATTTTCATAGAGAGTAGTGTGAGATTTGTAGCAGTTTAGTATATCTTTTAATAAAGAGTCCAAAATACTAGTAATCTTTCGCACAGAATTCTAAAATAAATTTGGTGATACTTTTATAGGTTTGACCTTTTTATTTTCAACGATAATTAAGTGTTGAGTATCGACGCGCAACAGGAAATGTGAATTGAATCTTTTTTTGTCTTTCAAGCTCTTTATTAGGGGGAATGTATAGAGGAGGTAGCGGAGAGAATCTCTTCTCTTATTTTCTGAACCGTTTATAGGATATTAAGGTGTAGAGATAAGTGTGTGCTTAGTTAGCGCTTCCATTTCGTGTTTGCAGCTGTAGATGCTTTCTGTTACCTGTGTAGCTTCGGGTGCTGTATGATACTATCTACTGACCTACCAAACCCTACTCTCCACATGAATGTCTTGTCCTACCATGTAGGCCGCATAATAGTTTGCTCCTATGATACTATTATGTAGTTTTAGAGTAGATTTTATTGGGGATAATTTATTTCCAGAATTATCTTTTAAATATTTTTCTATCTACGGTTAATTAGGAATGATTTTTATATATGTAGTTGAAATCACATTTCAATCAAACTCTTAATAAAAGTACGGTATACGGTATAAAAGAATTAGAATTGAAAAATTTATTAGCTTTGGCTTATAAATAAATAAGGATGTTGGAAAAAATGTT